TCAGTTATCATCTGGCACGACTGAAGAAGAGCATTTAAGTGGCTGCAGCTAACGTCGTCACCATAAGAAACGGTTATTTTGTCCGCTCCCCATGCAATCTCGATATCGTAGTTATACAGAAACTGCAACGTGCAGTGTATTGGCATTTATTAGAAATCCGAAAGTTGCCCTACTACTGGTAGTGTAGCACATCTTATTGTTAGATTTGAAGACCTAAGAAACGCATTTCAAATTTTCCCTTTCACAAACTTTCAGCTTGGAGCAATGATAGAAAAAATACGAATGAATTCTGATTCTAGCCTAGCAACCTGATGATCACATAGTGATAAATGTGTAAATGGTAAGTGATACAATGCCACCCCTAGAAATAACACATTGCCTCAACCTCCCATTTTAACAATAGAGTCATGCTGAATAAAAAAAGGGATGGACGTTCAAACCTCAACAAGCAGGAAGTCAATTGGATAGGCCGCCGGCACTTTGGTCAAGAGACGGCGATTTATAACCGCATCGTGGTCTTTATCGAGTATATCTCGCAGTGGTTGCGGTAAACATCCATAGTGCTAAATTTGAAGTCAATACCGAGTCGCAGAAGATTATAAAAATTGTAGGTATGTAACGTACATATTTTATGGAGTTCACATCAAAGACTGGCTCCTGCTTCACCACTTTATCTGAAAGTCAAAACAATATGCAATCTATGCTAGACCTATATACCAGCCGTTAAGTGATTGTATGGACCAAATCGCAATAATATTATGATGGGTCACAATCTCGAGGAAATCTGCTAAATCAGTGCTAACTCCCACTCCTTTTCACCTGCGGAGCCTCTTCAAGCTCCACAACCGCCCACCGACTGTACTGATGCCTTATTTTTCGGCCACCCGTTTAGGTACAGGGGATTTGGAGGAGAATGTCCACACACTTATAAAAAGGAATGAATAAAAATGTTTTCACACACCAAAAGCAATTACTATGATAAAAAAGCATAACAAAGTACGCAAAAATGAACCACTTGAAAGCGATGGGAGTTAAAAGGAAAAATCCACTATTAACAAGACAGAATTTTTCATAGCGCAAAAGTCAAAAAACAGGAAAAAGTGAAGTAGAAACATACTACGACGTGACGTTATTGGTGGGCTAAGAGATGAAACGCTGGCAACGTCCTGGAAAACGAGGAGAAACCTCACAAAAACAGGAGTGATAAGGTGAAGCATATTGTAAAAAGTTGAACAAAAATGAATCCCACACCGGTCAAAACGGAAGCCACTCACAGAAATCACAGAAACTTCCTTTAGTTTAGATCGACGCTTTTTCTCTAGCTTAGCAGCCTCCAGCTCAGCCTGAAAAGTGGGACGTTTCCTCATTGAATAAAAACGGAAACCAAAAAATTGAGAATTAGCGTTTGGTCGAGTCCAACTTGACTGGTGGATTTTGTGGGAGGGATTAGAAAATTGCAGGTTGTAAGAACTGAAGGCTGGTTTTTGAACAGCTTTTTTTTTTCTTGACCCCACTTATAAGATTTCATCAACATTATCCGACAGGCTTGCTACACTTTTGGAGGAAGAGGAAACTCTCAATCTCTAGCAGGAAAGTTGTGGACAATACCAAACGAAACAATGACTACATTAGACTGGTGCAGCAAAAAATTTTCATCAGCTTTCAGGCACCTTGATAATGGGACTCGAGGAGTAATCAATTATTACAACCCAAAAACTCAGTTTTATTTTTCGACCAAATTTTGGTCTTGAGGATAATTAGATGCTCTGATTACGAAATGACAAAATATTGGTGGCGCCAATTTGGCGCCAGTTGGCGCCACCTTGTCACGACAGCTGTTTTCACCAAATTCGGTCTAAAGTTCTGTATAGAGGGTTATTTGGTGCCCTGATTAGGCAATGTGACATTCGTTTTCGACATGAGCGCTGTCAAGCGCCTATTTTCTGCTCTTCTGAGCTCTTGCGCTTGTGTTACTTACCTTAGTGCCAAGCTCGGGGTAAGGAGGACTCTGAGGTAGGTAAACCAAGCAGCGTGAGACACAGCTGAAACTTGTCAGACCACACGGTGAGTGACTTTCTCCCTAGGAGTCCCCTCTCTCCAAAAACATAACCTTAATCGCTAACCAACCAACGAGATGGCGCAGACGAGCAGAAGATAGGCACCAGCGCCAGAAATGATTGTCATAATCGTAATCAGGACAACAAGAACCCTATAAACCAATCAACCTCTCGTGGGGGAAAGTAGCGGTCGTTGCGAAGTGGCGCCATCGACAAAAATGATTGTCATATCCGCCATCATGATATAACTCCTATGGGCAGTTTTGATAAGAAAATAGTATTTCTAGACTTTAGGGTTGTAAATGTTGGTTAGGGCCTGGAGTTCGTTCGTATTGCATTGATAAAAAACAAATTCGTCAACAAAATAAATACCCAACAAAGAATATCATAAAAAAGCATACCGTAGTACGCATAACATTCTCGTCCGTATAAGGAAGAAACAGCTGCTTAACTTTGCTCTCGGGTACAGTGACATCATGCCTTTTATGCCACCCCTTGAAAATAATTCAATGTTAAACGAACTTGATTAACGAGAATAGAATAATTTTCAAGTAAATAAGGAGTAAAAATAAATACTGAGGTATTCTGAAAAACAGAAAACACCTTATAATGAACGGTGTACGCGCGCTCACCATCCTTTATTGTAATATTCACAATCTTTCCAGCATAATAGTAGCCTTTATACTTGCAGAGAACGTTGTCATTGAGCCCGTAGGTGACCACATGCTTAGGTGGCATCTGAAAAGTTTTAAGGCTCTCAAACAGCGTGACAAAAAAAAGAAATCAATCAAAAACCCACATTGATACAGAAACAGTTTGTAAAACGCGAACAACCGCGGTGAAACTTTTTTGCGCGTCACTCGGATGGTGACTACGGCATGTGCGCTGTAATCCACGACAGCACCAAAATTGGTTTTATTGCAGTCACTGCTTGTAGCAACCCATTGTGTGTGCGTGGGGAAGATCTCGGCGACGGGGTTGATTTGACGACATGTTCTTGAAACGAGAGACCGAGGGGGGAGGGGTTGTACTAATGTAGAGCTTGAAAGTGTGTTTGCTCAAAGGAGTGATGCTCCCGACGAACTATGATTTGCCCAATTACCCAGTCGTTTTTC